TGGGGACCTGCTTAAGGCAATGGGAGGTCTGCTAGCGACTTTCAGTGTAATCAGGTTTTTATTTACTGTAATCAAAGCCAGAAAGGCCACGTCCTCCTTGGAAAAACAGCCTTGCTAAACACCTTCCAAAATGCCAGGTTTCTAACTCAGGGTACAAAAGCATTAAGACGACAAATGTCTTGACATTACAGATCTTTATTTGTTTTTTGAATCCACAATCTATACAAGGTATTTACAGGGCATGAAAATGGATAACAGCACAAAATACGATTGAGGTATAAGCTAAGAGCACAGTATGTCATGTTTCAATAAATATAATTCAAAATTTGTAAACTAAGTGACCAAATAGATGCATCTTGTTTACTAAAACCATATAAAATATCTGTTAAATCTCACGTGAGGTAGAGGACAGTTTTGTGTGTCATGTAATGCAACCACAGCAACTCTAGCAATAAAACTGTACATCATTGGCAAAGTATTAAAAATTGTTGAATGTACTGATCATTTTCTCAGGCTTTTACTATGGTTTCAGCATAGCTGTTCAACCTGTTGCCTTGAGCTAAGACAGACTCTTCGTGTTTGCAGCTATTTTCTGTAATTTAAGATTAATTATACTGGCATATCAACATCAATAAATACTTTTGAGTGACTACAAAAACACAAAAACAGCTTCTGTCAATTGCAGAAGGCAACATAACTGCAACGAAATATTTTAGACCAACACTTTTTAGCATTTCCTAGAATTATTTTAAATACAGTATAGCTGTGCTTTCCTTTAAGTGAGGTATCTATATTTGATGAAAAAAATCAATTGATACTGTTACACTTAATTTTCAAATAACAAATTAATTTTTAAAACATTTGTTTGCTGTGCTTGATGAAGTGCTTCAAACTCATTTTTCAAGCATTTTCCAAATGAAATGAAAATTCTCACCAAAAAAAAAAAAATTCTAAATAATGGAGACAGTATGAAATCATGCAATTAGTAAGCAGTAACTGTTTACTTTCACAAAAGCTAAAAATCAATTTTTTTTTGAAAGAGATATGCAGCAAATAAAGTGTCTACAACAGGCTTTCTGCAGCAAAAGCTCTGCTGACTACGTCTCAAGCTACAAATGTAATGAGCAAGAAAATAAATCTGGAAATCTGCAGCTTTCTGTCGCTGAGTGTTGACGGATTAGATAAAAATGCTGAAGTATTGCAAGCACAGACGAACATTAGGTGCAATTATGTCTTTTGTTGACTTTACCATATTACAGAAAACTTTGTTGTGTGGATTAATTACATGATTAAGTGCAGAAAAAATACAAAGTTGTTGTCTTTACTGACAAGTCAAAATATATATTCTACAAACAAGGGCATTTTAGGAAACTGACCATGACAGCATTTCAAGGTCAGCTTCACAACTAATTCTAGGAAAGTTTTCCAAAAATTTCGTAACACATTATAGTCATCCCCTCCCCCAATACAAATAAAAAGCATATGAATACACAGTTGTGACATCTAAAATATGGGCCAAGCCCTATTTTTTCAGGCCACCAGGAGCTTTATGCTCCTTCCCAACTTTTCCTACTTCACTAATTGCATTATGCCTTTACTATATACAAAGGATTTTCCATCTAAGCTATTAATATATTAAATATAGAATAAAATTAGTTTAAGAATGCAAAACATAACTACATGTACCTAAATGCTCAAGCAAAACAATATGCTTTACAAAAAACTAAAATAAGGATTTAGTTAAGTTTGGAGATTTAGATCTCTTTCGTCCAGGGACACACAATTACGCCGAGAACAAGGGTGCTTTCAGACTGCCAATCTAACAATAATTTTACCCTCTCTGAAGTTCTTACATTTCCTTGCTGGCCAGGAAGCACATGAGCACAAAGCACATGAATGTTCTCCTTTAAAAAGTATAGGAGCAAACTTAGATATTCACCTGGAATCGTAATTACTTTGTTCACAAAAGTGCACTAGGCTACTTTGTTTCTGGTCTAAGTGTTCAGAAGCAGCTTTTGCAACTTACTGCAGTTGTGGACAATTTTAGGATTTTTTTTTCTTAAAAGATTAATGTTAAAATCTGTGAAACAGACTTCCTGTCTACAAGATCAGCAAGCAAAAACCAAATGCAAAACAAATATTAACACACAAAACGAGCATCCTATGACTAAAAGCAAGTTTCTATTGCCAGAATTAGTTTCATTAATTGTGCACTTAAGTGGGGGGTCCTTAAGTGTGCATTCCAAGGTTCTATATTAGGTTGTAAAACAAGCCATACAAGAGAACGGGTATAAGGTAGTGAAAAAAGGTCAACATAACTACTTGTTCTAGAATGTATACAGTATTATTTACAACTTACTAAAAAACTATCTTTCAATGACTGTGGATGCACAAAATCTATGGCACATTTATGTATACATTATTACTTAAAATTGGTATAAAATTAAGTCTACACATATGAAAATTATTTAAGAACCTCAAAGCAATATTTAAGATTTTAGGAGGATTATAATAATTTAAAATGCACTCTAACTTCAGAATAATTAAATGGAATATTTACAATGCTACTTTTCAAGCCATTTTAATAAATGTTCAATTAGGTTTCTCAACCAAATGCTTTAAAAGTATTAGGAGGCCTTATCTGCAGCTGGAATTACTAAAACTTGCTATAGCTGCTCGAGTCCTTTTAACAGTGAAAATATAAGTATATCCTATTGCTACCAGTGCTTTAACGGTCTGCTGCATGAGCTGGTTGTGGAGATGGTTGGCGGGTGGTTAAAGTGCAGGCTAAGGCACCGCAACCCGGCCTACACTAGCACCCCGCTGCAGTGTGTGCTGGTGAAGATCAGCCAGCAGCGCAACGGGAAACGCTGTGCTGAAATCACATAACCTGGAGAAGACCAGAACGAAAACGGGATACACAGAACTCCAACAAAACAACCCCATGAGGATTCTACACATTCAACTGCTAAGATAGAAAATACTGCGGTAAATCGGATGCTTCAGCTGTATTTAACGAGGCTGTTTGGCTTTATCTACACTGACAAGTGAACAAATTTGGTTCAAAACAGTTATTGAGAAGTAACTGGAAATGATATGTTTTGATCCTTTGATGATACCTGCATGAAACTATATAATTTACAATCTCCCAGAGCACTTTTCTTTCTTGCCAATCTAGCTAATCCTAAATTCAGTTCTGTCAATCAAATCAGACTACTTCAAGATCCACTGCCTAATATTCCTGCTTTTACCAAGACTCCTGCCTACTATTCCTAGAGCCATGATTTTTTTTTTTTTGGTTATTATTGTAATAAAACATTCATTGTGTTTTTAAAGCAAGTGGTGAATACAAAACAGGAATCATTTATACTCAGCACCCTTCCTTGCAAACCATCACTATGCTGTGAAGACGCGCTTGCTTTAAAACAAATAAACAAACCCAACATTTACCTAAAACAAAAAAAATCATATTTGTCTAACCTGATATAAGAAATATAGTATTATCCATAAACAAAATTATGCAGAGCTATCAAAGAAATATTCTGTGACTCCATGACATTATTAACCATTCTATTTCTCATTCAAGATCTGTGTAATGTTTTCTTTCTTTTTATATATAGTTCCATTTTACTACTGAAAGACAGAAGGAAAAGAATGCAAAGTCCTCAATTTTACCAGCTCAGAATAAAAATCAACCACTTTTACTAGTGGTTTTATCCAAAGTGAACCGAATTTTTAAGATAATAACAGTAAGTACCTTAAAAAAACACCCAAAGCTAGAGTACAGATTAAAATTACTTAGTGAAATATTAAGATTATTAAAATATCTATCATCATTGACATAATCAGCTAACATCTGCCAGCTATATCAGACGCTTGGAGAGAAGTGCAAAAATGTGTTTCTTCATCCAGCTTTGTAGTCATGCGTTTAACCCATCAGGAGCCAGACTTCTGAAGTACTCAAGTAAACGTTATATATACACACAAAACAAATTTTGTACAACTACACGTTTTCAAATGTTATAGCTTAACAAACATGCTGTATTTCCTAATTCATGGTGATATTACCATGCCATTCAAATACAGAAACTGTCAAAAAGATTTTCAAAGTGCCATCTCTCAGAAACAGATTTTTCTAAATAATTACCACAATGTCAGTTAAGGCTTGCTCTGTGCAATGGCAAGACTCTGGAATTGTGGAAGCATGGGATATTAAAGAAACTAATCTGTAGGATTATTTTTTGAGAGCATTAATATCTGATAAACACTGCTGGTCAAGCTTCCTTACCATTCAGAAAGAAACTCCCTACCTCTAAGCTTTTAATATTTCTTTTGTATCTGCTATACAGAAGATAACAAAAGAAAACATATGAATCTTAATTTTAAAAGATGATATTTTAATTGCTGTTCTTCACAAAAACAAACATTCCAGCAACATAACCAAAGGCTGGTTCTAAAACTTTTTAGATTGATATTAAGTTGTTAAACAGCAAATAGTGAAAAGAAATCAGCTTGACAATTCACACAATAAAATTAAGGGAAAAAAAAGATCAAGCTAGTAAATAATTGTTGATGCTCAATCATCTTTCCTCACCCTGGCAATTTTGAGCATTACCCTGGCAAATGAAAAGCTGTCTTTGCTTTCCTGGCAGAGAGAGAACATACAATTCTCACTGAAGCCCACACCATTTTTGATCATGAAGAATTAAAAAAAAAAATACATACTTTCATAACTGGATGTGCAATTGATAGCAAAATAAGGATCACCACACATATTTTAACATACAATGTTGATCTTCAAAGGTACAGAGCCCTCCAACCACATTAGAAATAGACAGAAACTGGTAACTGTAAATCAAAAAAGTTCCATATTTTTCATAGTTTGAAAAAAACACAGTACAAAAATGTAGTTTTCATTGGTTCAGAAAACCTAAAATTTTATACCTACATTTCTATCTCTCTATACTTACATATATCTTCCCCTTGACTCGTTTGGGAACTATAAATCTGTAAAGAACACTTTTTCTTAACGAAGAGAAATTGCTCACAATTCATTAAAACACAAAACACCCTGTTTGAAGGACAGAGTCACGTTTCCCTCTTCCATCTTCTATTTTCCTTTTCCATTTTTTGAAGATTTCAAGATCTGAAGCTTCAACTCCTTTATCATCATCTCTAGCTTTTCTCTTGCCTCTCGTTCTTGTCTCAGTTCATCTTGAAGCTCTTGTCTATCTGCCTCTGCATGATCCAACCTCTGTCTCAATTCTGCTAGCTGCACAAATAATTCAGAAAGATTGATTTAATTTTAGCAAACATATTTGTAAGTAAACTATTCATTTCAAGAAGCAATTGATAATTGCAGAACTCTTGAGCAAAACTCTGATATATTACATTCTTGTCTGATGAATAGTTATCTATCTACCACACTACTAAATGACATAAAAATGCAAAGTTGCATAAACATGAAGCCATAATAAAACCTGGAAAAGTCTAAATGTTATAGACATACTAATTCCAGTTATATGAACTGTCACACACTCAAATGTATCAGTAATACCTATTATAACCTATTATAAAGGTTGTGGTGTCTGCATCAGATGTTTTACAAATCCCAGAATAAACAGAACTTTTTCACTTCCCAAGTCGATTTCCCAAATTGACTGACAAAATATCAATCCAAAGCCTTAACGCATTTCTAGAACAAAACAAGTCATCAACATCTTTTTTCAGATACCTTTTAGCAAAGGGAATGGCGATTCAGAAAATCCTAAATATAACCCCTTGCACATTCATATATGCGTTTAAAGGCCATTCATGCCTTTTTGTAAATGTTTTGTTTAAACACAGGAAATAAAATATTTTTTGTTCTTTGGAGTACAGTAAAACTCATTGAGTAACAAGTTTTTTAAAGCAGAGGGGCAGCAGATATTACTGTAAACCATATTACTGTTATAATATCAAATAACTTACTGATTAAGTAAAAGCAATACTCTGAGCTGTAATTTTCAATTACTGTGATTGGCATACTGCAGAATATTGAAACCTTACCTCCACAGAAATTAGGTGCCATGCAACTAACCCACTAAATTCAAACTACTGATCCTTGAATAATAAGTCCTTCTATATATATATTTTTTTGCTATTTTATGGCAATGACATATGAATTGTGATATTACAGCTCAAAAAAATTTTAATGTCAAAAAGATTAATAAAACGCATTCATTTTTTCACTTTCTGAAAACTGCCATTACAAATGATGCAATTTGTTTTTTCAAAAGAGTCTTTTAAAAGAGCATGTTCCACATTTAACTAATTAAATAGGCTAAAGTAAATATTTTTGCATGAGATCAACCCCTAAATCTAAAAAAATCCACTTGTCTTTATGAGGATGAATATCTATCTTGCCTTAATAACCACAAAGCATAGATTTCACTGAAAAGGGGGAAAACAATGCATGAGAATGAAACAAGCAGCCACATACAGGAACACTGCTACGAAGAGTACTGG